ACGGGGCACGCGTGCGCGGTAGTGGGCGCGCGGACGCTGCCTGTGTACTCGCTGGCCTGCCGGACGTGCCTGCGCGCACACCGCGTGCGGTAGGCATCACGGTCGGCATTTCGTCGGCCGTCCGGCTACTTTCTCCGGCAGTCCACATACGACTGATCATGTTTTGACTTAACTAACATAATTATGCAATAAACGTTCGGGACTTGCCGGTTAAAAACTGAAGTTACTCGGAGGGGCTTATTTAGCACCTCCGAGGTCATTTTGCTAAAATAACTTGGACCGAACAACATGACATCAACATGATCTCCTTACAATGAACTAAAATACATAAAAAGAGGGTAATTAAGAATGTACCCTTCAATTTGGACGAGGATTGCACGATAATGTGCGTGTGTGTTCGGTGCTCCGCCGATGTCCTTATTCTTCCCCTTTGCTTCGGCAATACTTAACTATTTTCGTGTGATTTTTCTATAATATTTCCTTACTATTTTCCCTCTGTTCTGGTACGTTAAAGATGGCTGAACTCACGTAAGATTGCATGAGGAAAACGTTCCACATGCTCGGTTATTTAAAGAAGTAAAACCGAGGTAAATTTGGAGTCAAAGGGGTGAAAGGTGATGCACCCTCCTCCTAATGCCAAGTGTTCTACACGTGTGCTGAGGTGGGACGTCCTTTAGCTTAGTCACGGCCGAGGTGTCAAGCATGCACGGGCGTAGTCATCGCCCGTGCGTTCGTGGCTCGCCGTGTGTGCAAGCTACTAGGTGAGTCACCCTAGCAACTTGCATCCCAACTTCATCATTTTTCATTTCCTCACGGCTCAACAAATACTAGGGATTTGGGGTGGATTAACTTGATCGTGGGGCTTAACGAGTCATAAGCGTGCTTAGCGAACACTTAACGCGCGCGCTAATGCGCTGCGCGCGGTAACGCGTACGGCGCGCGTTCGCGTGCGTGGACGTACGCACGACATGCGTGCATAATATACCTTGTGCATTTGTACCTTAACTTGATTTTTAACCTTGAATTTAGATATATTCTCAATAATTAATCCCGATTAATAATGTCCGTTTATTAAATAAACGGTTCGGAAAATAATTATCGAATTTGACTCGGTTAATAATTAACCGGATAAACTTTTCAACTTAACGTCGAACTTATTTGCTGAAAATGAACGGAATCGATAAAAGATAATACATCGTTTTCATTAACAAAGAGTTGGGTTATTACACATAGCATTCATATTATGCCGGAATAAATCCACCTGCAGGGTCTAGCAAAATATTCCTTCATGAACTCACTTCGGGGACATCATCATACTAACGCACATGGTGACCGAAAATATCCTAATAGCACATCGAACACATAATGCCATTACCCAATTCATTAAGTATGTCGACCCGGCTTGGATCTCACCCAAAGAATCAAAGCAACAACAATTATGTGCACATGCCTATTTAATATCTTACGGGTTAAGAGCACGCAATAATTAACTGAGGCCTAGTTCGTTTATGATGATCAGTATAAAACGAACATCCCTCTCTGGGATCCTGTTCAATACATAAATGTACTAGTGCAACTAATCGGTCAAGACAAACCGTACGGTTGACACTACAACCGTTCTGATGGGTTGTTCAATTCCATCTAGGTTGTGAACCAATGATTCTTGTTTCGCAAGTAACTTATATACAGTGATCTTCGGTACGCCCGATGACAACCCACTTATCTACATGCAAAACAACAGAACGTGGAACTTATTTAACCAAACGAAATTCTCATTCATTAAGAAATAACAAGTGTAATATCCACTAAAACAAAGCTTAAGTATATAACACCAACATATACTCAGTATGATGTCATCAGTAAGGATGTTCGAATCAGAATTCAGAACCTTAGAAAGGGGCTAAATTTGAGTCGATTAAATTATAGATTTATTCAGATCGAGTTTACAACTCGTCAAGAGATTTGTAAGCACTTGTGTTATACAAATCTTAGCGATCATGTTCCTTAGATATTTTCTATCGGAAATTGCCATTTTGCCAGCCTGTTGGCA